AACCCATCATCCTTATCTTATCTACAAGAACAGCAGAACCGCCGAACAGCAGAGTAGTAGAGTAGTAGGGTAGCAGAAATTACTGCCATCTCAAAAAGAGGAATTCGGCCACCTCCTCCAAAGAACCAACACCAAATTGCCAACACAAAAGTTGGTTCAGACAACCACCTCAAGAGCAAAGGAGGAGCAGCCAGCACACAATGATGAACAGTAAAAAGTGATCATTTATAAGGGGGTTTTCTTACCCCAAACAGAGGGAAAGGGGGAGAATTTTGGGAGAAAGAGCAGAGAAAAAAAGAACGAAAGCACTAAAAAGACAGACAGGGCATTAAACACTAAAGGGCAGACAAGAAGAACACACAAAAGGGAGACAAAGACATTAAAGCACTAAGCACCAAAAGAGGCAGACCAGAAGCAATAAGGATCCAAAAGGGGCAGAGAGTCAGGAATAGCAACAAACTATCGCCATCAACCTCCACCTAATTTACAACACAGGTTGGTATTTTCTACACCTCATCAACCATACAAGCATCTAGTCATCTATACATCCATGAAGGAAAATTCATTTAACATGTTTGTAGATGATGATTGCTTCCAAATTCATAATCTATAGTTAGGTTGCTTAAGTCTGTATGTGAAGTGGGTATTACAAAATTCTGATCTTTGTGACATGTATGCCTCTTTATGCCATTTTTTTTTTGTTACATGCTACAATAAACAGTTTCATTTTATCACTAACATACAATGAATTAGTTTAAATTGCTTTCAGTTTTTCTAGCAAGCATAATTCTTGCTAAGTTGCTAGCTGAACTTAGCAATAATATCAGCTAGGCTATTTCATTTAGTCTTTCAACATATCAAAAATCCAGCAATCTACTCAAAACACAAAAATAGGATTCAAACAAGATCCTTGAGAGAGTATTTTAAAATACCTCATTTGATGGTTGCAAGGGTGCCCTTTTAACTCAATTACCAGATTTGGTAATCACGAGGTTCTCATTTGGTTATTATTTTGTATGCTAAATACAATAAAACACTTTCATTAAAAATTCCATTTGTTACTAATCGGTATTAGCCTTTTAATCAAATTGTTTAACCAATTGATAGTCATAAGCAGTCGCTATGATGTCGTATTACCTTTAGGACCATTATAGATTTTCAAATTTTAATAAAGCAAATTCTCCACCATATCCAAAACCAAACATTAAGGCTAAACAAACCTAGGAGGTCTAACAAAATTTACTTTCACAACACCAGAAAGTTCTATAAACAATCATAACGATAATTAAACCACCCATTTTAGGTTTAGAAGAGGTATCACCTAGTTTCTTTCAAATTGAATAAGATCTGCAAAAAATTAGGAAATCGAGAGTTAGAACCCCAAAAATGTAATAGGTAAAAAACGAGAATAAAAAATAAAACAAACAACTTACCCCCAAACAAAACCCTCGCCGTCGGCTCTGGCGCTGGCCGCGCCGCCGGCGACCGCCGCTCCTCCCTTCTCTCGGCGGAGGTCCAAATAATAAAAAAAACATAAACAAAAAAAACAAAACAAGTTAAATCCCAATCTTATCCATTAAATCGAATGAAAATGGGCATGCATGTAGAAAAGAGCTTACCAGAGGGTAAGATCTCGTCGTCGCCTCTGCTCCAACTAGAAAGAGTAGATCGAGATTATTAGAAAGTAAATCAAGAGTCCCTCCTCGGTTTTGGATCGGTCTCTGAAAGAAAAACAAGAAATAGGTTTAGAACATAGAAAATCTTAAAATCGAAATCGAAAAATGGTAAAAATCTTACATGCAAGCCAAAAAAAACCTAACCTTTAGAAAACCCTAGTCGTCATCGTCACTGCTGGCGTTGGCAGCGCTCGTCCTCAGTCGTCGCCGCCGCCGCCTCTTTTCCCCGTCACCACTCGTTTCCAGAATAAGGAGAAGGGGAGATAGATTAAATATGAAGAAGGCTCATCTCTTTTTCTCGATTTACATGAAGAACGCGAGAAGGAGAAGATGTAGATGGCGGCGTTGTTCGGATGGTTAAGTGATTAGGGTTTTCGTTTCGAGGTAGGGATTAGAAGGAGATGAGGGTGGCGCTAGGGTTTTGGTTCGCTCTCTGGAAGAGAGACGAGAGGTGGAGAAGTGGATAAGGATCGAGATCGAGGGAGAGAGGGTGAGAGCGGCGGCTAGGGTTCATGTTTGGTCTTCTCTGGAGAAGATGAGAACGAGAGGGAGAGAGGCGAGAGGGAGAGTGAGGCGGCCGACTTTCTAGGGTTTCGTTAGAGATTTATATACCTCATCGATTGTAAAGACTAAAATGCCCCTAGGGTTTTCTAATTACTACCTATCCTTGCCACCTCGTTTCCGTGAAATCACCAAAATGCCCTTCCCCCGTCTCTGAATTAAAAACGACGGAGCAAAATGGGTTGGATGGGTTTCGAACCCTGCTCACGCGGAATCAACTGCAGGGTTAGCAACTAGGCCAGTTGGGCTGCTAGCCCATCATGCGTTAGTTTAGCCATCCCACTTAGTTTAATTTGTTTAGAAGTCCTTAATACGAAATGTAGAATTGCGGATTAAGTTCATCTCATTTCTTTTCTATTACATCAAATCTCCTTTTAATAACTGAAATCCTCATATTATATTTTCATAATTTCATAATATCAACTTAAATTTTATTAACAATAAATTTGGACGCGAAAACCACGATCAGCGGAACGTGGTAATAATATTATTTAAAATTATCAAAGTACAAACGAACTACGTGGACTTTGATCCCGTCTAACGGGTACGTAGGCAACCGATAAGGTTCGAGTCCAACTAATCAACTAACTTTATCTTTAAATTTTTACGTCAGTGGGCGTATAATTAAATTACAATTAATACGATTTAATTTCTTAAATAGTCCAGTGGGACCCTAAAATTACAAAATTATTACTAAAATACACCCAACTTACATAAAAACTTATCGACTTAAGTAGTACCGATTTAGGGCGTTGTGGGGGTGTTTCTTAACTTCCCCACACGTAACCGTACTCCCGAACCCAGAACTTTATTTTCGCAGACCATGCTTCGGTTCTGACACTAAGGTTAGAGCCGACCGAAGAGTGTTCGATCCACTCCAAGTAAGATCGATGGCGACTCCCAAAAATGCCGACGCGACGAAATTCGGACCCCCCGGACGGGACGGTTGCGACAAGTGATTTGAATGGTTAACGCTTACACGTTAAATTGTTGAGAAAATATGTTGGTTGGACTTGAAACCTATTGGTTGCCTACGTACCCGAGTAGTCGGGGTCAAAGTCCACGTAGTTCGGTTTTGGAAGTATTTATGAAGTGATCTTAACCCGTTCTATTGATAGTAGCTAAGATGATAATTTGAGTTGTTAAGAAAATTTATTTGTAATATTTTAGATTGGTGATTGAGTGATAAGACGATTTTTGAATTGATTTCAAAGAAAATGACCATCACGATCTATTTACCATGATTTGTATTAAGGAATTTTCTAAGTAAAACGAGTATGTGTATAAGAAATGAAGATAGTAACCAAGGTTTTTGATATTTTGAAATATTTAGAGTTAATCGTAGTTTGGTCAAACCATAATTCTTAACACAATTAGGTGGCATGAATTTTACGTATTATCATTAAATCAAAATAAAAATAGATGAGGAAGTAAAATATTAACGGAAATGTAATGTGACTTAATGGCTCAGTGTATTGACTGTGCCACAATCTGAGCTCGATTACGTGTGTTCGAACTTGACTGTTTTTCCTTTTTTCGTTTGTTTTCAACATAGGGCTATTTTGGTCTTTCGGAAGGGTTGGAGTATATAAGCTAATAAGAAAATCCTAATTCTGCCTCAACCATTCCACAGCTCACGGCTCACGGCTCAACCTCTCTTTTCCTCTCTGACCCGAAGCAAAAACGACCCTTCTTCAACCGAGAACAAAAAAGAACAAGACCCGAAGCCTCCCGTTGGTTTGAATTTCGATCTGCCCTTCCCAATCCTCTCTCGTTTTCTTTGTGGAAGCCGCGCAAAGACCCAAAAGTGGCAACGACGATGCTCCAGGCAGCCTTCAAACCGACGGTAAGTCAAGATTCGAGACTTGCATGTTCGTTTCTTAGGATTTTCTGAGTGATTTATGGTGTTTTGGGGGTTTTGACCCTTTTGTGCTTTGGATTTCGGTTTCTATGGGTTTGATTTTGGGACTTTTATGGGACTTCTGATTCCTCTTGTGTAGTTGTGTTATGCTTTTGACGGTTATGGCCGAATGGGAAGAGATGAGAGTAAAGCTTGTAGAGAACAGCAGTTAGTAAAGCTTGTATTTATCCCTGTAGAGAACAGCACATCTGATGCCAAGAAATAGAGCAAACCCAGCAGGCCAGTGCAAGCTTCCGAGAGCTCTTGGCATTTCTTCAGGAATAGGGTGGAATGATCTTTTCTGTCAGGCATTTATTGATATTTACTAATCTTAATACCAGAATATCGCCATCTACCACGAAGACAGACAGAAAAATTAACCAAGAGCTCTCGGAAGCTTGCACTGGCCTGCTGGGTCTGCTCTATTTCTTGGCATCAGATGTGCTGTTCTCTACAGGGATAAATACAAGCTTTACTAACTGCTCTTAGACGACTGCTTTCTTTCATTTTTGCCTGTTAGATTGCTTTTCTGGTTGGTGAATTTCCTTGTCTTGGGTATGTGGTCTCAATCTCATTGATAGTTCTTGTCCCTCATGGATTTTGTTCTGGAAGTTCACTCGATTGTCGCGCATGGTTTGTGGTTGCTCCCAGTTGTCCATCATTATTAATCAACTTCTTTTCCAAGTTCCTTAATATGCTCTAGCAAATTCGTTAACTCATCGTTGTCTATTACGTTTTCTCCTCATAATTGAGTGTTTCCCTTTCTGGTTATTTTCAGGGTTAATAGTGTTTGATATATAAGTTGGTACAAACAGAAACTCTGAAGTAAGAAACGAGCTAGCTTGGCTCTTGTTGGCAAGAAGATGCATCCTCCATTAACTTTACATAGGCACCCAATGTGCGCTGAAGTGAGTTTGAATCATTTTCGATTTGTCAACTTTCTTGCTGCAGCTTCTAGGCTTGTCTTTTCTTTAATGGTTGATGATGGTGGGAATTAAACCTTTGAACCCTGGATATTGTTAGTAGAAGAGTGACTGGTTTTACCAGTAGGTCATTTTGTTGGATTCCCAACTTCTACGGCTTATCTATGAATTGTGTGCTTTCCTGGTAGTAGAACCGACATTACCTGGTAATACAATGACAAGATCAAGGAGAAGAATGAGCATTCCGCCCTCTCCTTCCAGTGCAGATACATTCTTTTCTAGTGATGGACTATGTCACTTATATTCTCTTGCTACGTCCTAATCATAGAGATGTGGCCATGCTGTAAAGGCAGTATGATAAGGTAAGAAGAGTAGTAACAGCCTGGATTGAGGGTTTTCAGAGGCCAAGGATAGCCTTTTGCATTGCTCTTCAGATAACTGAGACCTATTAGCTTCTACTGATCATGTTTCTCGGCCCTAGCTTCTGTAGTCATTTTGGATCTTCATATCAGAAATGAAATGTCAATCTTCATAAATTCATAAGGTTCTGTGATGAATTCATGTCTCGGACAAACCCAGAAAGGGTGATGTTTCTTCACCTTTGATGTGAAGAAATCCTTGTTTATGACTATGTTGTCAATGCCCTACCTTATATTTGTGCCGTGATCACCTGTTTCTGTAATTCTAGAGCCATTCTATTTACTAACTATGATGTGAAAAATACTCTACAGATCATTGAGGAGTTCCAGAAGTGTCATCTGGACCATCCAATTGGTAAATTCTTTGGTGAATGTACAGAGCTCAAGATAAAGTTAGACCGTTGTTTCCGGCAGGAGGTTGGTTAGCTCTTGTGTATTTCGCCTTTCTTTCTGACTAGAATAACATTTGTGTTTCAGACATTCATTTTGGTGTTTCCTCGACACAATTTTGGGTTTTCCCCCCTACAGAAATCTATCAAGCGAAAGGCCAACTTTGAACAAAGTAAGAAACTGAAAGAAAGGCTGCAAGGGATGAGGAAAGAAGCTGCTGAGAAGAGCAGTGAGGAGAAGTTTATGGGAGCTTAAGGAAATGATGTGCTGAGACGGTGATGCGCTGACATATGCTTCAACATTTTCAATTATCAGCTGAAACATTCATTCAATCAGTTCTTCCAGCTCTGGCGGTAGATTTGGAGTGAGATTATGGGGGATCGATTATTGTTGTGTATGATGTGCAAAACTTGTGTTTGAAATTAGTGATGCTTATTGGATAGCTATACATATTTTTACCAAACATGCATATGACGTTATTTGTTTATTTATTCGATGATAAAATAAATGATTATATTCTTCATTCTTGAATAAGGGTGACAATGATATGGTCAAAACCGGACCGAATGCTACATAATTTAGGACATAGCAGACTTTGCTATAGTGACTTGCAAGTTATCATAACTTGCACTTTTCGAACGACTTCAGTTAGGATTACGTCGACCTAAACTTTTGTTGTAGTTTTGTGAGGCTCAACGACGCGGTCGACCTTTTACAACAAATGGTTAATATCTTTGGAAAGGAATCATATTAAATGGGAGACCCAAATATCGCAAAGGCCGAACATTTTGCTACTAAAAGGCCGACCTCATAAGTGAAAAGGTTGACCTCTGTGTAGTTAACTGATCAACATCAAAGTTAGGATTATTAAGGAAAATAGGATAAAAGGTCGACCTGACAAGTACGAGGTCGATCGCGTGCACACCGTATCCGTATTGGATAAGGATTCCAACACCAGAAAGGTAACCCTAACTCGACTCAATCTCGTCCTAAATATCTATTAATACAAATAAATGTCATCTTCACCGCCACCTGAATTTGGTTTTTTGTACGGTTAGAGCTTTTGTGAAGAAGATCCGTTGTAGTTGTTACTGTACGTGTTTTAAGAGGTCGACCACGTGAAAGGTGAGGTCGACCTAATTTAGCTATCGTCGTCATCTTGTCTAATGCGTAATTTGCACCGTTTAATTTGATGTTTTGTTGCGTGAAGAAAACTATTCGGTTGACCCTTATCTCAATCAGGTCGGTATCTATTTGACAATTGCTAGAAATTGAATTTAGGGCACAACACTCAGACTTCTGTACCTGCGAGGTAAGGAAGATCAAACCCAATAGGTCGACCTAAATTTTGTCAAGGTCGACCGTTTCTGTTTGTTTTGATTGTCAAAGTGACAAATATGAAGAGAGAAGAATGCACAAAAGCAACCTGGCTCCTAGATTACGTATTCTCATTTCGAAGATTACGGGTTCCTTGCACAATTTGTGGAGCAAGATTGACTGAAGGTGATATCTCTCAATGTACCATACAATCCAAAAATGCTACAATACTTCTATGACAACATCGTCTATCAGCCTAATGCAAATGGATTGATTCATGCTTTTAAAAGCTATGTGAATGGGGTGGAGATGCATATCACCAAGAATGTGTTGGCAGAAGTACTGGAGACTCCAAACCAGGGGAAGAGAATCAATTCTTACAGTGCTTGGAATGAAACTCATTTCTCGAGAACCAAGCAAATTCAGACTATATGTGGTCTTGCTGAAGAGGAAGATGTTCAGGATCGCAGTAGGCCAACGATTCACTAGCTGACAGTTCAAGCCAGAGTTCTTCACCACATACTCTCCCACAACATTCTGCCAAAGGGTGGACATTGGGAGGCAAGTCACCTACTTCGACATGGAGCTCCTCACCAACCTACTTTCAAATGAGAAGGTGAACTTGTCATACTTGATCTTTAAAGACATGCTTGTTGTTGCAGAGAGTTCAACCAGAATTCTCCCCCGTGGGATCATCATGACTTTGCTATTTGAGCATTTTGGTGTGGATTTAAGTGGTGAGGTTCGCTTAAGAATCACAGAGCAGGAGTTCTATACAGTTTCATACCTAAAGAAGATGGGATTTGAGCTGCATAATGGTGAGTATGTCCGAGCATACAATCCTCATGTAGGCCATGGTGGTGATGATGATGAGGATGCTGCTGATGATGATGATGAAGAGCCCGGAGACAAGCGACTGGCGCAACCACAAAGTTTAACTCCACCAGTCACCTTAGAGCGTATATGGGAGCTCATGGATGGCATGTACGACTACATGAGGCAGATTTCCACCCGAATGACTGGCATGTATGACTAAATGGGGTAGATGACCACGCAGATGAGCACACTTCGTGTGACTGTAACTGAGCTGCGAGATGAGTTCCAATCTTTTAATGGAAGATACATGCATTCCACCACATCTGACTACCATAATGCTAGCACCACCAATTAGGAAAATGGGGATGAGTGAGAGAGGGGAGAGTAGATTGTGTGTTTTTGTTGTGAAGTCTTAAAAACGATCGTGGATTGATATTATGTGGTTTTCGGTTTTAGGTATGTGTGAACAATTATGAGGTGTGTTTTATTGTATTTCTTGTTAGTGTGTTAAGTTGTTATGTTATGAAATTATGAGTCCTTGCTATCATGATTTACGACTGATTCTGTTGGTTTGAAACGTAATTTGTACAAGCAAACGAACCACCCACATTGACATACGTAAGCAAAAAAGGCGCAGGTCATAAGCTGATTTTCCTGTATTCCGTCGACCTCAAAACAAACACTCTTGATCTAGGGATGGCAACAAAACCTAAACCCACGGGTACCCTACCCAACCTAACCCGGTTAACACGGGTAAAATCCGTGTTGATTGGTTTTGGGTCGGGTTCGGGTTTAAAGCCTTACACTATTCACTAGATTGGGTTGGTTTGGGTTTAGGGGTACCCGACCCTTGGATTACCTCCCACACTTATTTCATCGCCCTACTCTCCCCAAACCATACCCTAATTCTAATTCCCCCAATCTAACTCTCACTACACTTATTTCGTGTGCTTTTATTTAGTGTAATTGTGATTTGTTCGAATTTTCTAGAGTGGTGTTTTATGTATGGATAATTTGTATGGGAAAATTGATGTTTAAATTTTATTTTGATAGGAAATTGTTATTGTAAATTTTTTACAACAAAAACCCATGGGTACCCATGAACCCGCGGATACCCAACAGGTTGTAATGGGTTTTACCCCGGGGTTTTTTTTATGAACAAACCCATGGGTTTGGGTTTGGAAAAACTCGACCCATTGTCATCCCTATCTTGATCTTCATTTTACGTCAAGGGGGGGGGGGGGGGTGGATAAATGGATAGAACACTTTACTCTTCTATCTAGCCGACCTCTTTCTTTAAATGGTCGATCATTTTGGTAATGACCGCCATTAAGTGGTAGACCTACATCAATTTTGGTAATGACCTTTCCAATGAAAAGGGCGACCAATATTTTATCGTGGTCGACCGGGAATGTCTCAACTTAACTGAAAACGATCGACCACTACATTTTAAAGGTCGACCGTGATAAGTCATCAGAATACCCACATTAGTGTATTCGGTCGATCTTAGTTAGGAATAGGTCAACCGAAAAGTGCTAGTTACGGTGACTTGCAAAGCACCATAGGCGCGCCCCATAATTTATTTGTACTGAATTGACTATATTTCGATCATAGAAATTATCCTAATTTTGAAGGAAAATATTATCAAAATTGAATTTGTACAGTCAAATCAATTGAATCAAACATACTCCTAGTTTTATCTTGATTCAATAGGGCTCAGGTCGAATTCATCGACCCCACCCATAATCCTTAATCTGGAATACATGTCTACATTTATCATTGACTTATGGATAATGACTATTTATTAGTCAAATATTTTTTTGATTCTTTTTTATTAGTCAAACCTATTGAAATACTAAGAATTAGCCAAATGTTAACTTCCAGTTAGCAATTTTGTTAATAATATTTGAATTGACAACATGATATTGATTTGGAAGCATAGTTAGTAAATACTCCGTTTAATACATGTATATGTACCCATACATATTTTATTCGTTTAAAACTTCTGTATCCGTATTATTGTCAAGCCGTTTTATTTTTTCATTCATTTGATGGCTCTCATACTAAACACGTATAAAACCCTTATAACACGTTTAATATCTGTATTTAATAAATTAATTTTTTTAAACTTTACTATTATTTATATATTTATTTCTTTTCAGAATAAATAATTTTATATATTAATGACTATTAACGTACTCTTAAACGTAACATTAGGTTAGAGCCGAAATAAAATACCCGTACATATTTTATACGTTACTTTTCCTCGCCGTATTTTACTAACAATGCTTGGAAGAGACACATGAAGGTCAACATTCCAAAAAAATTTAGTATTTTAACTAAGAAAAGAGTTACAAATTATTAACGATAGCGTAAAAATGGCTAATATTTTGATGCATTACGAAAGATTTGGCAAATTGATAGCATTTTAATAGGTTTGGATAATTTAAAAAAATCTAAGAAAAGTTTGAATAAAAAAATAGACATTACCTTAACTTATTTATTTCATAGGTTTTTAACTTTGAAAAAAGGACTAATTTCGTGCTTAAAGGCACCATCGATTCTCATGAGAGAAAAAAAAATCCTTTTTTCTAAATGCTTGGGCTCATAATAAGGATTGCATTTTGACTAAAGCTCAAATCATGAATCCTAACAAAACAATTAAGATGTTCTAAGCCGGAACCCCTTTAGTCTCTGTTTTTTCTTGCGCTCAGCGCAATACACGGGAGGATAGTTTGGTAAATTAGATCCATGCGATTTAGTTGGGTTGTGTATGTGTTTTTACTATTATTTTATGTCGGAATTGCCGTTAGAGAATGAATGGATGTATGGGCCCACCCTCAAGGCCCATTCTAGCTCCTAACGCTCCTAACATTAGCAACATCGACCCATTCATTTCCAGCTCCAGACACTAGCAACATCGGCCTCTCTTCCAATTGACGGTGGCTGTCTCTCTGCTAATGTTTTTCACGTCCGGCCGGATTTTTCACATCGACGGTGCCTGTCTCTCTCCTATTGTCTTCCAGAATTTTCACATCAACGGTGCCTGTCTCTCTCATGTTCCTCTCTCGCTGCCGGCTATAACCTAAGACTAGCAGCGATTACGTTATTGTTAGTAATTC